CACAATTTGGCGACAGGCCAGTTCAAAGGATTGGTACCATCCAGTGCAGAGCGGGAACGATGTCTTTGTCCCCGAGGCCCTGTGGGGGGAGATGGAGAAGTTTGTCGTCTCCTACCTCGTAATGCCACGGATTCTTGTAGAAGGGAAGAATCTGCGTTGGCTACTTGAGGAGGGGTCCTGGTTGGAGCTCTCCCTCGTCTTTTAGGTGGCATGGTGAATCTGGTAGTAATGGATAGCGTTAGGTAATAGCGAGTGATGCAGACGTCTTCAGCATCGGCGGTAGAATGAGAGCGAGGCTAGTGACGTATGTGTGGTCAAGATGTAGTGGTCAAGCTTGCATGTGTAATGAGGATGCGCAGTGGAACATGTTATGTGCATGTAAGATACGCTCCGATCCCAAGAGAGTGAGGTATGGAAACAGCTGAGTGTTGGGGAATTATTGTAATCTTTAAAACTTTGGTTAACAAATAACCATCACAATATTATTCATCATTTGCCCCCATGACATTATCTTTTATCTTGTGACCTTATATGACAACTTTTCAAATTGCGTGACCTTACAAGACAGTGCCTCTTAATCATGTGATCCTGCATACGTAAGACGTTACCATTTATTGCGCGATTCTGTTAGACATCATTTTTTATTGAGTGGCCATCAACCTGAATACTTTGACTGACCTCTGACTGATCATGACCTCTGACTTAAATCAAATGGAGATATGACCGTGTCTGTACTTGTTACCATCATCACTATTTAAGATTCTCTTCTACACAGCAGCGTTACTATCTTGTTGTGTTCTTACCATCGTGTGGATGTTCCCAGAAGTTGGTCACCTTGGCTACATATGGAATGTCAGTCTTTTTAGGTCCGGAGCACAATAGGACACACTCCCTCACCCTGATCACATCTCCATCAACATGGCGGATAGCCTGGTAACAATTGGTCTCCACCGACATTCCCAACCACTTTAAAACAAAAAAAGCAACATTTTCAAATGAGTGACTATGATAATACAAAATCATTTTGTACACTACTAGTGTCTCAATAGCAGAGCACTTCACTGGAAAGGGAGTTCCTGTTTTGATTACACTGACAGGCATAGAGCACTTCTACCCAAATCAAGCATCGGAGTGTACAAAGAACTATGTAAAAATAGATTTCTTTTCATTGCCCTAGGAATAAAACCTAAACGATCGTAAGTTCAGCACTGTACCTATGGCCTAAGTAGATTTCCTGAATCATCTAACAGTCATGATCAGTAGGCAACACTGTAACTTCAATACCACGTTGTATTACATAGGGAAATTCAATCAATGAAAACCTTATCTCTTTAAAGCCAATCTTGTACATGAACAAGTTAACAATGTAAGTGAGTAATTAACAAGAGGCCCAATGGGCCTGCATCGCTCACCTGGTATTAATCTCACAATTGTAACCTTAACAAGAGGCCCATGGGCCTTAATGGTCACCTGATATATTTATACAGAGAGTTGATTTTGTTTTTAACATGAACAGAATTATTATTCAAAGTGACAAAAAAACAATAAAACCACCTTATTCAATATCTAGCATACAGATTTAAGACTAAAAAGTATTTGAAACTAGCACCACTGATTCTAAACAAGGAAAATGAAGAAATTTTAGCACACTGACTCCTTTGGGCCCCACCCTACAGCCCTT